ACGCAGGCCAGAACAGGGATAAAATAGCGACCTTCTCCATAGATTTTCTTTTTTATGTAGAACATAAGAAGCACTGCATTTCCAATGGAACCGAAACAGAGGTACAGCAATACGACCGTGATTGTCGGCACGGTGGCGTAAATTAGAGACCAATTCCATTCAATCAAATTATTGTCAACCATTGCGAGAAACTTAATATATTGCTTTGATTCTCGATTTCAAATAACATGTGTATAAAATGTTTAAATCAAAAGGTTTCTTCCTTTTAGATGTAGCAAAGTCTAAGGCAGGTTTAAAAGTCAAGTGGATTTAAAATTATTACAAGGAAAATGAACTTCATAATTTAATAATTAACAGAGCAGTTCTGTAACCACTTAAACTTTTTGTCATACAAGGACACAAGGTTTGATGAAACTTTCCTGATTATTAATTTACACCTTTAAAACTAAATGGGATGTTATCAGTCTTGAAAAATATTATAAAAATCAATATTATATATCAATCTTGACAAAATTAGTAATGATTACAAATGATTACAAATTAAATTTAATTAAAAGCTTCCTACAAATCGCATTAATTCTATCTTGATAAATATATTTTACATGTATGCTTAATGCAAACAATGAAATCAAAAAGATTCGAGAGTATGCAAACTTACACCATGCAAAACTGTTTATTGCATACTTAAAAGTATTATTTCTGAAATATTAAAATTATATACTCTATTTCTTCCAAGATGGAAAATATCGATACTTTTATTTTGTTGCTTATATGATTGACTTATGCATATCAAATTTAGTCAAATCTATAAATCTAAACTACATAAAAAAGTCTTATTTGTTATACCTTTAAAAATATGCTCCTATTCAAATCTATATAAAAAGTCTAACATTTCTAATGTTTTGCCGAATGGCCATAAAAATTCGATTTTGGACTGCTAAGTGAGATGTTGGACCGGTCGATGAGATGTTGGACTGCTTAGGTCAGAGAATGGAGAGAGCTTATGCAGGTCGAAGTATAAAGGAGAATAATTTGTGCCAATGGAAATTTTAACAGCTTTTTGAAAGGCATGGTATTCGTAAAATGAATAATTGTTGTCAATGAAGAACTCAAGCATTCTTTTAATGTTTACTTTGTAAGGAAATAGCGAAACAAAATGAAATCCATATTATTATGCAGAGACATTTTCTGTTTTTTTTGACATTTTTTTAGGCTGACAGTATTAAATATTTGGACTCATTTATCAGGAATATCGTATCATTAGCAAAATTATTCCTCGGAATTAAAGGGAACTGCGCATGATGCATCTTCCTGTCAGTAGATGGTGTGTGGACTGTTTGTGAAGCCTACACGTATTTCGGGATCACAAAGTTTACTGTGAATTATTTTATTGAAGCTACATAGGATCTATATATGATCGATACAACAACTTATAATTAAGTCAATGCAAATGCTGACTGAAGATTTTCCTACTTATTGTATGTCCATATTTGTACACTGAACTGACGATTGATTTTTCTGTTATTTCCAAATCTTGACAACGAGCAAACGGCGGGTGTGACCGATCAACTGCCAGGGGATGTTCAACTCCTCTATGGCATCTGATTTCACGTCTTATTTATTGGAGGTCTGAGTTTGCTCTGCTCCTTTTTTTCATTGTTTTGTGGAATTTTGATCTTGAATTCTGTTTGATATCTCCATATTCTCAATTAAAGCAATAAAGAAGTAGTAACATATAATGAAACTTTTTCCTTATGTGTATAATCAAATTGATTTTAACAAGTTAGAAGCATTGTTATATTGTTGATGACCCATTACAATATTCGAAATTGTAATTACATTTTGATTGAAGAAGCTGCTGTTTATAAGTTTTTTTTAATTGATTGTGTGTAATGATTGTTTAAAATATATAAGAGAGTGTAAAAAAGTGTATGGTTCCAGATGTGATCGACTTTTGAAAACAAATCGCGATTTTAATTTATTTCCAAGATTTCTTTGGATTCTTTGAGAATCTTCATCTGAGTTCCACCACTTCTAGAATAGGCTGTAGCACAGTTCGTCTGCAGTATCTCTTTTACAGCAGTTGTAATTTTAAATGGTAAAGATATAGCTTTGTAAAGCAGTTGCTTGACACTGCAACGAATCTTTGTTTGTAAGGATATTAATGATGTTTAAGAATCCGGCATAAATCAAACTCTTCTTGGTTGACTGGAATGTTTAATTATTAGTTTAATAAACACAGAAATAGGATCCGGAAGAGCAAGCATTTTGGTATCATTGACAGCTATGTTTTCAATAAAAACGACACTCGTAAATTGACTTTCCTTGTCATTGGTCATTTGCAAAATTATTTTGTTAAAATACATTCTGATTGCATACACAAGTACTCCAAAGTTGACATCAAAAAAATGCTTGAGTTTCTGCTTGACAATATCTACGTGGTATTTTGAGACCAGGTCTTCCAAGACTCTCCATGCGTACCAATTGCGCTCCGTTATTAGCAGACCTAATTTTGTATTTATATGAGGCAGAAACAAAATCTGCAAATTGAAAAGTTGTTGTGGCCTTCAACTCGACTTTTTAAATATCGACGATAAACTGTCAATTAACAATGGTAATTTCCTTCCTTATAACGATACGATGTAACTAGGTGAGCTTGAGATAAAAGATACCACCGAGTCTGACACATCTGTTTCATACTTTGATATATAACTTGACGAAGATAGTTATCTAACAACCAAAAAATGCTTTACGTATGAACAATTTCTTGAACAAGGCCAATTATTAACAAACAAGTTTAGGAAACAAAAATATCAGCAGTCTCGTTAAAAGTCATCATTTCGTAAGTTCTATGGTGGATACAATAACCTTGTCAGCAAATACAATTTATCATTGAGACAAATGTTGACTGACGTTTTTCATACTTATTATTAGTCCATTATTAATACATTGAATTGACGACAGATTTTTCCGTTTTTTACCGAGAATGACAAGGAGCATACGGCGGATTTGACTGGTCAGCAGGGGATGCTTGCTTGTCCATGGCACCTGATCCCACCTCTGATGTTTTGGAGATAAGTGTTTGCTCTGCTCCTGTTTTATATTGTTATATAGACTTTTGATCTTTAATAATGTTCGTTATCTCCATATGTTTCATTACAAATTAAAATAAATAGTTTGATATTAATGGTTTACTTCTTCCTTAGCGCCATGAATCAAAAAAAGTTTTATTTTAACATCCATAAGCCATAACGTATTTTCTCGAATTGTTAGACTGCATACAGATGTTAGCCTTAAGTGGAGTGGAATAGTATATACACATGAGCAATCAACGCAGTAGTTAACAAATAGAGATGAAGGTGATTTTTTAAGATAAAAAATACATACTTTATAAGAATGGGCTATTCTTTTTAGGACTTCAATGATATAAAACAAACGTAATGTGGTTCAAATTTACATATTGAAGACATTTAGATTTTTTATTTGGACTTGTCATGTGATGTCGAAGTCACATGGCCGCCCGGGTGGCGCAGTGGTTAGAGCGTCTGCTCTAGAGTTGCGAAGTAAGGAGTCAATCCTTACATCGTGGGATCGAATCCCACAGTTGGATGTGGAGACCGGTCCTTCGGATGAGACCGTATAAACCGAGGCCCCGTGTCGCAGTAGGTACTGGCATACATACGTTTATACGTAAGATACGTAAGATCCCTCACTCAAAGGCCATGAGTGCCGAGCATAGGACAAAATTTGTAACCCTCCAAGGGCAAGTGGTGGCGTCTCCATATGAGTGAAACATTCTCGAGAGGGACGTTAAACAGTATACAATCAATCAATCAATCGAAGTCACATGATTTTAACAATTTTACTTGCTGTTTAGAGGTAATCTATCAATTCCAATATTGCAAGGGCATAACCAAGTTAAAAATCTTAGTTTAATTTATAATCTTTTCAACACTATAATATATAATAATTTCATTTTGTAGTTTTGAAGACTTTATATTTGTGTGACGTCATAGTACATATTTCCCGTACAAATTTGGCCCTGGCTTTTTCTGTTCAACTGTGGTACGAAACAAAATACCACACGCTGATTGGCAAAAAGGCTAAAAATGAGAAAGAAAACATGCAAGGGAACAATAAACGAAATCTAACACTTGTTTCTTGGTGGCTTGATCTGGTATATGTTTACTCCTTTATATAGTGGGTATAGCTTTAAGCACAGGAGTCTGAAGTTTTTATGGTCCAAAAAAAAAAATCCCAAAAATATCTCCTAACTTCAGCGAAAAAAATGTCTTTTTTTAATTGAGGGTAGGAATTTTTTCCCCGGATTTTTTTTTTTAAGAAAGAAAAAATTCAGACTCCTGTGCTTATAGGATGCTATATTTATTTCTTGAAACTGCTTGTAAAAAAACGTTTAGAAAGCTTCAATTTAAATTTTAAATGAGACTGTAGTCTTCAGACCAATAATTGCAATGGTACAGGTCTGATGTAAGCCTGAGTGTTTGACCTACAGTGTAGCATAATTTCTTGCGTTCTTTAATAAAAACTCTAATAAAATGCAATAACTTGTACTGTTAATTTTATATTCCATCAGAAAATATATTTGTTTTCATCATAACTGCTTTTATGTGTTGGGGAGCGGGGCGGTCTTTTAGCACTAAACATAAATGCAAGTGTATTTTAGAAATAATCTTACTTTTGTTTGGCAGTATCTTTAATCGATATCGATAAATCCATTTATTTTTCAGTTATTATTGAAATTACTATATTCCAAATAATAAATATCATTTCACTAACAAAAAAAAACTTACGTATAAACGTATGTATGTCTAAGTCATTTCTTTCCTAATAAAATAATCTTGACATCTTTATTTACAGAAAGAGCGTTTTTATCACTAGTTACTTAGAAGACAAAAAATGCAGTCAAACATGTACATGAATGACCTAAAAATGATAAGATAATAAGAATAGAACATAGATTTTCTGTAAAAGGAGAACTTGGCTGTTTTCAAATTAAATTCACAACAGAGACAGGGTATGAGAACAAAAATGCCTATATCTGGTTTCTGGGTTCTATGTTTTATACATGTATTTGCGAGATATATCTCTTGTGACCAGGTGGAAGAAACTTTGCTGCATGAAATTCGCATTGTAAAATCCGTAAATAAAAAACTTATTAAAGAAATGATGGACTTAAAGGACAAGTTAGAACATTTGCAGAAGAGAGTTGAATCACAGGAAAAGAAAATATCTATTTTTGACAAAACATGCACTAGCAGCTCCAAAGAAAGGACCAAATTGAAAAACAACTATAACTTTGATAACAAAAAGACAATGCAAACTAAAGCAATTCTTGGAAATATGTCAACGGAAATGTTTTTGATGAAAACTCAATCAAAGAATCATGACAATGAGAGAATCCGGAGAGAAATACTTCATCCAGAGAAAAGAATTATTCCAGGTATCAATATTAATTTCAAAAGTAGCGCATTTACTGTAAACCAACTTTTATTAGCACCATTTTTATTTGGCGATTTACTTTAGGGTAAACTAGTTAGCGACGTTTCATTTTCACGATTGGCTTTTTTTTTTATCTGTTGTCAATAGACACAAGGACTTTAAGGCCTGATTCGCAGCGAGAAATATTTGCGATGATGACGAGGATCTCATGAACCTCGCGAAAATTTCTCGCTTGCGATTAGAGTTGATTTACAGTATGCAGAAGTAATTTTATCCCTTTTTAAAGAACATGTATTTGCTTTTCGGTTAACTGGCCATGGTCTAAAAATTTTGTGAACTTTTGTTTGAAATAGATCCAACGTTATTTCAGGATAATTGTATCTTTGTTATACCACATAGCCACAAGTATCATCACACTCAAGCTGTATGTTTAGCATTAACTTTTTGATTTCTTGTGTTGTTAATCAATTGATCAGTAATGATAATTTGTTTCTTTACAGCTCCAGACACTACAAGCAAGCTTGCCTTCTATGCTTACATGAGTGCACCTGAACTCAATCCTGGCCCCCATCATACGATCATATTTGATACTGTGATAACAAATGTTGGATCCGCCTACAATCATCATACTGGGATATTCACTGTGCCCGTCGATGGTATATATATTTTTTCATGGACACTGCTAAACGAAGGTCAGGGTTATATATCAACTCAAATTGTTATAAATTCATCCGTATACGGTGCATTGTGGACAAGTAGCCAGGATGTAAACGCACGTCACATGAATTCATATACAATTGTCGTACATTGTAATACCAATGATTCTGTCTACATCCGCACACATAGCAACTATACCACAAAAAGAGATATCAACAGTAATGTTTATGGACGATCGTCGTTTAGTGGTTGGAAACTGTAAAAAGAAAAAAGAGTAAATTCCACGTATCTTTGAAAATTGTTGTTATCTATTCTCTATTAAAATAAACAAAATATTTTTTTGTGACACGATAGCGGTGTTTTTCTTTGAAGTTTACAGTTCTGTATTAGCAATACATATATATTATTATAACAGTAACTTGATCCGAAGGGTCGTATCACGTCGAGTTGACAAGCGCCGATCATCAGATCTAACGAGACGCTAAGCGTTTAGTTTGAATTGATGATCCGCGGCTGTCAACGAGACGTGATACGGCTCTTTGGATCAAGTTACTGTTAAAATGATATATTTATTATATACCCCATCAAAACTAGCAAAATATAGCAAAAGAAAACTTAAGAGATCAATTGCATAACATTTATCTATAAAACAAAGCATAATAACAAGGGATCTTTTAACGTGCAAGAAAAATAATGTCATATTTCTGCGTAGTACGGCATCAGTTTCAGAGAGATTCAGAAAACAACATGTCGGTGATCCAGAAAATTGGATCACGATGTCACGTGATAGCATTAATTCAACAGTAAAATTTGGTGATACACATGAGATATATAATAAAGAACAGGACTATGGTGAGCGGATCTACTTTCCGTTCTCTATTAGTCCTGTATACTGTCTTGCATTAGCCAAGTATTCTGTATCTAAAATACAGCACGGTCTTACATGAATCTGATTCATTTAATCAAAAGCACGTACAAATAATAAAAGCGATGTGTTCATACTATAAATTTTGGAGAAATATTTCCCTGGGAATGTAATATGTCAAATTTCCCAATCACTTTTAAAAACATATTCAAAAAAATCCTCACACGCACGTAATTTTGATCCAAACGAAATGGATAATTCGCAATATCGGAAAACATTCACTCTTCTCGTGTAAACTCGTTCAAGACAATTTTTAGCGTTTTTATTCTTAAAAATTTCTGCTTAAATCTTCATCGCTGACGACGGTATCATTTCGATGTTTTTTGGACTATAAACGATACATAGCAACCCAGTTGACAACTAAATTGTTCGAAAAACGAGATGGTATTCAACTTTTCTATCGTCAGTTTTCCTTCTTCATATACTGTTATCTCGATATTACCTGCATATTGTGTATACAATTCCTAACTTATTCGATACTCAAGAGCATACTCTGAGTACGAACAGTATTAAAACTGAGGCAGTACACTGACAAATAAATCGATGTTACAGGGATTTCAACAACCTTATATGAAGACAGCATTTCGTAAATTTTATGGTCGTTATAATAATCCTGTAAGGAAATATAACCTATCTTTGGATTGTATTTTGGCTGACTTATTCCAGACGGATTTGGTCCGTGTTTTTACACTGAATATTGACTACAGAATGTTCCGCGCGCGGGTGTCGGGTCGACAGGGAATGCTTACTCCTCCATTGCACCTGATCCAACCTTGCTCTGCTACTGATTTTCAATATTTCAATGAATTTTGAGCATGATTGTTTGTGACATCATTTTTCACATATAAAACATTTCTTCGTTGATACATAAATATATAAATGTTGTACATTGTTTATCACCGAAAAGCTTATTGTAATTGGTTAACAGACAAGAAACACAATCAAAAATTCATTATTTTTTCAGAATGTTTGTCAGAATTAAAATTTACATCGTAAGTTTTCCTATTACCTGATTACGTGATTTTGATGATTTGTACAATGTTATTGATAATATGACTATATTGGCAATGTGACTATATGAACAATGAGACAACCCAGGTATATGAGATGACATGGACATTGAGCCGATATGTACACTCTGCCGATTGAACATCGTGATGAAATAAACAATTTTACATATAGCTAGGGTCTTAGACTGGGTTACAAATCTTTCATTGATGAAATTTAGCTAATTTAACCAAAGTTAATACAAGTCAAATAAAATTAAATAAATGACAGAAATTTAATATCTAACTTCTCTCTTAATGTCGTTTCAAGGGGGCGACTGGGGTTTTATTGTGTAAAAAATACAAAAGCGAAACTCTTCATTTTTATACCATGTAAAAGTGTTCAAGATTTGGGTATCTTTAAATTGCAATGGCACAGAAGGCTTCTCGAAATTTTTTGTTATCAATTGTCATTGGCAATGATTGACTTAACCACACGTTGCAAACGTCAGCAAATTCAAAATGGCTGACGATATCACTATCAAAATAATCAGTTTCCTCTTCTCTCTGTCTGTAAGTTGTTTCTTTTAGATTTGACACGTTCTACGATATCTGTCGAATGAAATCGCGAGAAACAAAAAATAGAAGTGCTTAGAATCCAAAAGATGATAAAATATAAAAACTTAAAAACTTATAATAAATCTGAATAGAAGAGTACCAGAAAATAAAAATTAAATACAACACAAAGATATGGTACTAGCCAGTAAATCTACAGAGGCAAGAACTGGGATAAAGTAGCGTCCTTCTCCAGATACTTTTTTCTTTATGTAGAACATAAGGAGCACTGCATTTCCAATGGAACCGAAACAGAGGTATAGCAAAACGACAGTGATTGTCGGCACGGTGGCGTAAATTAAAGACCAATTCCATTTCATCAAATTATTGTCAACCATTGCGAGAAACTTAATGTATTACTTTGATTCTCGATTCCAAGGTACATGTGTATAAAATGTTTAAATCAACAGGTTTCTTCCTTTTAGATGTAGCAAAGTCTAATGTTTAAAAGTGAAGTGGATTTGAAATTATTACAAGGAAAATGAACTTCATAATTTGATTATTTACAGAGCAGTTCTGTAACCACTTAAACTTTTTGTCATACAAGGACGCAAGGTTTTATGAAACTTTCCTGATTATTAAAGATGAAAACCATTAACATATTTAAAGCTAAATGGAATGCCAACAGCCTTAAAAATATTATTAAAAACAATACTAATACATCAATCTTGACAAAATTAGTTATGATTAAATGTAAGTTTTAATCAAACCTACAAATCGCATAAAATTTACTTTATGCTTTACAAGTTTAATGCAAATAATGAAATCGAATAGATTCGAGAGTATCTAAACTAACATATTGCAAAACTGTTTATTGCATACTTATAATTATGATTTCGGAAATATTTCAAATTATATTCTATATATCATCCAAGATTGAAAATATAGATACATTTATTGTGTGGCTCATATGATTAACTTAATAATATGCATTCCAAATTATGTCAAATTAATAAATTTAATCTACATAAAAAATACGTATTTGTATTACCTTTAAAACTTTGTTTCTATACAAATCTAGATGAAAAAAGTGTAGTATTTCTAATGTTTTAACGCATAATAATATGCGTTTGGGCATAAAAAATCGATGTTGGACCTCTGAGTGAAATGTTGGACCGGTCGATGAGTTGTTGGACCGCTTACGTCTCGGAATGTACGGAGCTTTATCTCATATTTATTCATTGGTGTTCAACAGTGATGGACCTGAGGTACATGTATAACACGGAAGACAGTACAATATACATGTATGTCAAAAAAATAAAATGAAAGGTAAAACAAAACATTAATTGACAATGTTCTCGGGCAAAATGTGTTTTGTCGACCATCGAACAAAAATGTCTCAATAAATGTATAATATTTGTTATTCGATATTCCCCATGATGAAAGAAAATTCAGTATAAAAGAGAGAAAAATATCAATGTTGACTCGGATTTGGACAGAAAGTGAATTCTGGAAATCGTTTAAACAGAATAAATTTGTATACAATCTTTTATCCAAAATGGAATATATAGATACATTTATTTTGTAGCTCATATGATTGACTAATGCATGCTAAATTAATTCAATTGAATAAATCTAATGTACATTTAAAGACTCCTGCATATATTCTTTATTCGATATTTCCCATGATGAAAAGAGTAATATGTATAAAAGAGAAAAAAATATCAATGTTGACTCGGATTCAGACAGAAAGTGAATTCTTGGATCGTTAAAACAGAATAATTTTCCAGGACGAACATCTCCCCAGATAATATACAGATAAGGATTAATGTAATCAAGATAAAATCCAACATGTAATCTTTCTTCCTTTGATAAACACTCAATGACGCCCTCCATAGTGGTTGTATCTAGAAATAAACCCCATCAAGGATCTCAAGATCGCTGGGATATATCAAGTTGACATTTGAATGGAAGTATAGCTCAAAGTAATACGTCGTTGATACATAAAAATGTCGAGGTGGAGGCCACAGTAAGTGCTTTTCTTCTGACTTTTTTAAAATAAATATTTTGAAAGAATATAAAACAGGTCGGCTCATAAAGGAGAACAATTTGTGCCCATAGGTATTTTAACAGCTTGTCAAAATGCATGGTCTCCGAAGACAACATAAATGTTGTCAATGAGGATCGACTGCAGCATTCCTTTTATATCAACTCTGTAAGGAAATAGCGAATCAGAATGAAATTAGTCAACTGTAATTCCCTATTTGTAGAGACAATTTCTTTTTTTTTATTTTTGTCATTTTTTAGGCTTCCAGTATTGAATTTGGACTCATTTACCAAAATTATCATATCATTTACAGAATTGTCCCGCTGAATTAAAGGGAACTGCGCATGATGCAACTTCCTGTCAATGGATGATGTGTGGACTGTTTGTGAAACCTATTCGTGTATTTCGGGGTAAGTTTAACTTTTAAGTTTTAGTTCAACTATTCTACTAAAGCTACATGACATGGTATATACATGTTCGATACAATGACCTTGTCAGCAAATAAAACTTATCATTGAATCAAATGCTAAATTACGTTTTTCATACTACATGTTATTGTTAGTCCACTATTTATACACTGAATTGACGACGGATTTTTCTGTTATTTCCAAATCTTGACAAGGAGCACACGGCCGGTCAACAGCCAGGGGATGCTCAACTCCTCCATGGCACCTGATTCCACCTCTTAATTATTGGAGGTCATTGTTTGTTCTGCTCCTTTTTTGCATTGTTTTATGGAATTTTGATATTGAATACTATTTGAAGTCTCCATATGTCTCAATTA